TAGTACACTGTGTTCAGGCTATGATTTGGTTGTTATGCTGCACTGTTTCAGGTAGAAAAATCAAACTCATTCTCAAAAACTAAGCTTTGTATATTTTAATGTTTCAAGGCTAAAATCAAATTGATTCTAATAAGCACCCTTGTATCAACTGGGAGGAAAGACAGTTCTTTAATACTTGGACACAAAGGGTATGATATGTCAGACAGAGTGGGAAAATGGCCCAATTATAGTTCCATAAAATCTAATAAGTAGAAATATGTCTGAAAGAGATTGAGTCTACTTAGGAAATTCAAGCCCAGGAATTGTACCATGAGATTAGAAGTAGGCAAATGTAAAGGACAAAGGTAAGGTTCAAAGTAAAAGGACAATTCAAGGTATCTAACAGGCAACTTTCTCTCCTGTTTAAAATTTCACTGCAAAGGCAGAGGAATGCAAAAATACAAATGCATCCATAGCCATGAGATGACAGTCATTGGCAAATATAAGGCTGAAGAGTTTCTAGAACTATAAATTAGATATAAGAATATTAAAAGAAACTCAAGAAAAATTAGGAACTTGAAACTACTCAGTGACCAAAAAGACATCGTAAAAATAAGGTATTAATGAAAAATCTTAGAATAACTCCAGGAACAGAGTAATCAGGATACAAAAATAAAAGCAGATCTCAGCATTGCTGCCAATAGCTTTTGCTCATGGACAGTAAAGAGACAATTTGACACAGAAGTCTGCTACATACGTTGTTGAGGTTGGAAATAAAGTCAAGCAGTGGCCCAGATAAATTCTGGACACAGTGGAATAAGTATAGCCCCACGGCCAGAAAGCAAACTGCCTCAACATTCTAAAGAAAACTGACTGTTAGAAAATCACATGCAGCCTCTTCCCTGCACAGTCATCAGAATGAAGATTTCTGTGATCATAATCTGAATACATTACTGTAGGGAGAAATTTTAATTATGCTGATGCTATCAACTACAGCTGTCAGTTCTTTCCCTTCTTGGTCCTCATTAAGAAATATGAACTGAGTACTCAAGAATGTAAAATAATACAAGGAAACCAGTGAATGCAACACAAATATCCAGTTGAACCAATAAGAACTAATGCTTGTAGAAACACAGATAATACAGGAGAGACAACATAATTTTTAATAATTGTAATTAAGTTTTTTTTTCAATAGACTTTATTCCTTAGAGCAGTTTTAGGTTCACAACAGAATTGAGCAGAAAATACAGAGTTCCCACATAGCCCTCCCCATCCACACATATATACTCCCCTACCTTCAATATCCCTCATCAGTGAGGCATATTTGGTACAATTGATAAACCAACATGGGCACATTATCATCAAAGTCCATAGTTTACATTAGGGTTCACTCTTGATGTTGTACATTCCATGGGTTTTGACAAACGCTTAATGACATGTAGCCACTATAGTATCATACAGAATAATTTCATTGCCCTAAAAATCCCTTGGGCTCCATCTGTTCATTCCTCCTTCCCTCCCTCTCCCCAGACCCCTAGAAACCACGATCATTTTATTGTTTTTGTAGCTGTGCCTTTTCCAGAATGTCATTTGGTTGGAATTATACAGTGTGTAGCCTTTTCAGACTGGGTTCTTTCTTTAGTAATATATCTTTTAAGTTTCTTCTATGTCTTTCATGGCTTGATAGATTTTTTTTTACTGCACATATATTTTTAAATGTATATATATGTACTATTCATTGTTTCTAAGAATGTTTAGAGCTTTAGCATTTTAAACTTACATAGTTATCAAAGGAATAAAGCCACCCACAAAGTAAGAATTAACTCAAAAAGATACAAACACCCAGTTATTGACAGCAACATTTATAATTGCCAGGATATGGATGCATCCTAAGTGCACATAAATAGTGAATAGATAATGGAGATGCAGTGTGTGTATACATATGTGTGCGTGTGTGTGTATATATATAGATATACAGATATAAAAACAACTCACCCTTAAGAAAGAATAATATTTTGCCCTTTGCAGCCCTTCATTCACTTTTTTTTTTCCCACTTCAAAAACCAGAATTTCATAACTGGCAGAGACATTTCCATTACATCAAAAACAACAAAGTACCTAGAAATAAACTTAACCAAGGAGGTTACCTATACTATGGAAAACAAAATGACACAAAGAAATGGAAAGATTTGTGCTCTTGGATGGGAAGAATTAACAATATCCAAATGGCCACACTACACAAAGCAATCCACAGATCCAATGCAACCCTCATCAAAATACTCATGGCATTCCTCACAAAACTAAAACAATTCCAAAATTTATAAAGAACCACAAAAGACCCTGAACAGCCAAAGCAATCTTTGGTAGGTCTCTATTTTCTTTTCCTCTCTTTCTTCTTTTTGTTCTGTTTTCTTATGGTTTGATAACTAGAGAAGGTCCTTTAACAATTGTTTTAAAGCTGGTTTGGTGGTGCTGAATTCTTTTAGCTTTGTTTATCTCTGAAGCTTTTGATTTCTCCATCAAGTCTGAATGAGAGCCTTGCTGGATAGAGTGTTCTTGGTTTTAAATTTTCCCCTTTCATCACTTTAAATATATCGTGGCACTCCCTTCTGGCCTGTAGAATTTCTGCTGAAAAATCAGCCGATAACCTTATGGGAGTTCCCTTGTATGTTATTTGTTGCTTTTCTCTTGTTAATTTTAATATTTTCTCCTTATTCTTAATTGTTGTCAATTTAATGACTATGTGCCTTGGTGTGTTCCTCTTTGGGTTGATCCTGCATGGAACTCTCTGTGCATCTTGGACTTGGATGACTGTTTCCTTTCCCAAGTTGTGGAAGTTTTTGGTTATTATCTCTCCAAAAATTTTCTCAGATCCTTTCTCTCTGTCTTCTCTTTCTGGGACCCCTATAATGCAAATATCAGTGCACTTCATGTTGTCCTAGAGTTCTCTTAAACTTTACTCATTTCTTTTCATTCTTTTTTCTGTTCTGCAGTAGTGATTTCCACTAATCTGTCTTTTACCCATTGATCCATTCTTCTGCCTCATTTAGTCTGTTCTTGGTTCCTTCTAGGGTATTGTTGATTTCAGTGATTTTATTCTTCAACTCTGTTTGGGTATTCTTTATATTTTCCAAATCTTTGCTAAAAACTTCACTCTGTGTATCTGTACTCCTCTTGAGTTCCCTGAACATCTTTCCCATCATTACTTTAAACTCTTTCTCATATAAACTGCCTGTCTCCTCATCATTTATTTCTTCTTCTGGGATTTTATTTTGTGCCTTGGCCTGGAAGATATTCCTTTGCTGCCTCATATAGTCTTTCTGTGTGTTTGTGGATTCCTTCCACAAGCTTTGGGATTATTGTTTTCTTTTTTCTTGTATCTGCCCCCTGGTGTTTGAGGCTAGACTAGAGGTTTATGCAGGTTTCCTGGAAGGAGAATATGGTGCCTGCCCACTGCTGGGCCTGGACCTCTGGTGGGTAGGGCCATGTCTAGAGGTCTTGTGGCTTAGGAAGTCTGCTGATGGGTGGGGCTGTGTTCCCACCCTGTATATTGTTTTGCCTGAGGCTTTCCTACAGTCTGTTGGGTGGGGCTAGGTCTTGGTGCTAATGATCCAATCAAGATGTCAGCCTCCAGGAAAGCTCATGTAGATGAACACTCCTGGAATGTCCCCATGGCCCCAGGAGACCCTCTGAAACCAGCAGGCAGATCTGGCCCAGGTTCCTATGAAATCACTGCCTCTGCCCTTGGACCTGGCACACACAAGTTTCTGTGTACCTTCCCAAGCAAATGGAGTCTCCATTTCCCCTAATCCCCTGGAGCTCCCAGAGCCAAGCCCCCTGGCCTTCAAAACCAGATGTCCTAGAGTCTTCTCCTCTTCCCAATGCTGGCACCCTGGCTGGGGAGCCTGACATGGGGCTTAGAGCTCTCACTCCGGTGGGAGGGCCTCTGCGCCTTAGCTATTCTTCAGCTTGTGGGTCACCCACCTGGGGAGTATGGAACCCGATTATACTGCAAGCATGCTCCTTCTACTGTCTTGCTGTGGTTCCCTCCTTATGTTTCCAGTTGCAGAAGATCTTTTTTGCCAGGTTCCAGTCTTTTTTGTTTTTGATGGTTGTTTAGCATTCGGTTGTGGTTTTGTTGTAGTCATGAGCTCGTGGTCCTACCACTCTGCCATCTTTGAATATAAATAGAATTTTGACATGCAGAGTTTTTTTTCTCTTTTTATATATTAAACATTTAAATATATCAGTAATTTTAAAATTCTGTATTTTACTCAAATTATGGGAGAAAATCCTTCATATGACCTAGACATTTTAGGATTTTGGATTTTTCTGGAAATTCTTCATTGCATAAAGGATGAGATAAGCATAAATTGGTGATAGCCACATCATTTATTGAATAATACTTTTTTTCAGAATAAGAGACATGGCTGACTTCATAATAAAGTGAATTCCTGTGGGGCTTTGATCTATTTACAGACCCCCTATTATTTTCCTTTGATGAACCTGTCTTATAAGTACCATATGATTTTCATTTCTTTAGATTGATAATATGTGCTATTATTTGGGAGTACTTGTTTTGTTTTTTATTTTTCTTTATAGAATATTGTTTGTTTTGCCATTCAAATATTATGAGCGTTTTTTTTTTTTTTAAAAAAAGTTCACTTTCTATTTGTATCTTTCATGGACTAATGTAGGAACATGTATATCATCCTATTGAATCTCTCTATCCTTAACAGGTATGCCTGTCTACTAATTCTTTGTGAGTAGTAATTGAGGTTTTCTTTATACACATCTTACACATTTTTATGTCATTTTATTCCTAGCTACTTCATCATTTCCTTTGCGCTTGCAAATATATCCATGTGTTCCATTATTTAAAATATTTTTTATAGAGAAAGACTGTTGACATTTATTAATTTTGTAACTTGGTAACTACCCAAATTCTCCCATAGTTTTTTTTGACTTCTCTGAATTTCCTAGGAAGCAATCTAATCATCTATATACAATATAACTTTATTTCCATCTCTTCCCTTTCAGGAAATGGGTTAAAGGTTGAGCACCAGTCCTTTCCTTACTGTTTATTCATTTTTCTCTCCTTTGGCTGAGGAATAGTTTCTTCAAGTAGTGTCTGTGGAAACAACCATCATTTAATTCTTGCACATGTGAAAATTACATACATCTATCTCCTAGAGTTAAATAATGATTTGGCTGTGCATCAGAATTTTAGGTCATGTTTTTGCTGAGTAATATAGGGGCATCGTTCCACATCCTATGTGGAATGTGTTTTATAAGATCCACTAACCATGTTATTTTTAAATTTTCTACACAACTTTTAAAGATTACTTACCATTTACAATTATTACAAAATGTTGGCCATATTCCCCATGTTGTACAGTACATCCTCAAGCCAATCTTACACTCAGTAGTTTGTACCTCCCATTTCCCTATTGGTATCTTGATCACTTAGCCCAGATACAAAAGGAATTGTATTTTATATTTGAAAAAAATAATCATCAGGTTTGTCTCATAGTTAATGATTCCATGTGATTTTTTCCGTGGGACACAGGAAATCATTTCAAGCTGTAAATTCAAGTCTTCTTTTAATAACATATTTCCAGGGGAATTTCCACAAATAAATGTTTATTTCCTCTTCTAATTTTTGCTTTCTTCTTCAGGGACACTAATTATGGTTAATGTAGGATCCTCTGTTCCACAGACATTGGTTTATTTCTGATCCTTAAAATTACTTATTCATTTTTATTTCTTTTTACTCACTTTTTAAGAAAATTATTTCCCACAAATATTTATCTTCATACATGCAATTGCCAGTGGTAACTTTGCTTCTGTGATTACTTTATCTTCCTTCTCTGTGCTCCCCGGCTTCTGTGTCTCATGCTGCTTCTGCATCTGTGGTCTCACCCTATGCCCTTGAGCTTTTATTTCTCAGCCATGAGTTCATGCTTGTTTTATTAACTTGTGCTCATTCGTGCTGGTGTTTTAAATCAGTTTATCAGATCATTGACAAGTCTTTTGGGTGAGTTTTCTTTACCCATCATTCATTTTGTTATATGTTTCATTCTTGCCCTTTTCTCCTTTTTCCAAGTAGTATATTTGCACTGATGGCTTTTATTACTTGTCTTCAAATGAAAAGAAATATCTCTCCATCAATGTGTCTAAGGTTCTTATTAGATAGACACTAGAACAAGTTTACAAAGTAGCAAGAATTCTCCCTGGGTTAGGACATACATTGTCTTCATGTCCATTTTTTTTTAACTTTTTCCTATTAAAAAGAGGTCTCCTGCTACAGTGCTGCAAATAAGAGTTCTTGCCATGCCACATTTTCAACGCACTTATTTTCGCCTTCCCTGTTATTCTGTGGCGAGGGGAGGGGGACAGAAATGAAGCCCCTGCCTGTGAAACCCATGCCCATTTCACAAAACAAAGATTGTTGTTTCTCTCCTCAGAGTAAGAACTTTGCTCAGTCAGCAATCCAAGAATTGTAGGCATAAAAGCCCTATTCAACATTCTTCCTACCCCTGTGGCAGCTCTTCCGGATATCTGATTGTTAAGGGCACAGATGTCCTTATTCCAATCAAATGTAGAGCTTGCATTCCTGTTTCTTGTACTTCTTTGTTTCTAAAATAGAGAGGATGACATTATAAAACCAAATATCTCTAAGCTCATGTTATTCAGGAATGGCCACTTACATAGTTGAGCATGATCTATAACAGCACTGAACCAAGTTGTCCTTATATCTTAAGTTATTTAACAGTTTGGTAGCTAAAATGAAACTGATCATTAAAATTTTACAAACACACACATAAAAACTTGCATGCTCTAAGAAAACAAAACAATAGTGTTTCCCCAATATCCAAGGCTCTTCTACATAAAGTGGCTGACTTGCAGTAAAAGAATGATATGAAGAAGCAAAAATTGGACCCTACAACCAAGAGAAAAGCTCGAAAGAATCCAACTCACAAATGAGCTAGATATTGTCACTGGTAAACATGAACTTATTTAGGGTAGTTATTTTAAAGATGTATAGGAGCAAAGTATGAATTAACAGGAGATCTCAGCAGAGAAAACTACTGAAGTATGTAATTCTAGAATTTGCCATACAACATGGGCCTAATACTCAAACAGTAGAATTAACTCATTGCACAAGAAATGATCAGTGAATTTAAAGACAGATTGATAGAGATTACACTAAAAGAATTAGGAAAAAAAATATGTAAAAACAACCAATCAGAATGACAGTTATCTGAAAATATCAGGCAATGTAAAATATCTGTAATTAGAAAATCTAAAATGGCTAAGTAGAGTTTACTCAAGGAATTCAAGGTTATATTAACATTTAGAAATCAATGAATGTAATCCATTACATTAAAAAGAATAAAGGAGGTAAGTCATATGGTTATCTTAACAAAGGCCAAAAAAAGTATTAGATAAAATCTAACAAACACTCATTGAGTTAAAAAAAAAAAAAAAAAAAAAAAACCCTCAGGATTTAGAAATAGAAGAAAATGCCCTGAATCAAAAAAAAAATCTGAAAAACTTCCAGCCGACATAAATTTGTTGATAAAATATCAGACGTGCCTCACCACCACTAAGATTTGGGGAGAAGGAAAGGCTCTGTATTTTTTCACCATTTTTATTCAATTCTGTGTTTTGTGCTAGAGGTCTTATTAGCAAGGGCACTGAAGGGAAAAGGGAGGGAGGGGGTAGGGAGAGAAGGAGGGAGAAAGAAAAGTAAAACTTTTCCATAGGTAATAAAACATACTAGATATAATAGGTGAATGCAGCAAGGTCTTGGGATTCAAGATCAATATAAAAATCAATTATATTCTATAAAATGGCAGCAAGCAATTGGAAAATGAAATTTAAAAATCCATGTCATTTACAATATAAAAAGTAAAACACCTCAGGATATTATGTAATGAAAGCTCAGCAAGACCTCTACTCTGAAAACTACAGACCTTTGAAAGAAATTTGAGAGGACCTTAATAAAAATTGTAAAGATACTAGTTTTCTTCAAATTAATCAAAGATAGAATATTGATTAAAGTTGTATTCTAACAGGCTTTTCTGTGATTACTGGCAAACTAATACTGAAATTTATATGGAAATGCAAAGGACCTTGATAGAAAAGTCAAATGTTACTGAAAAAGGAAAATAAAAATCTGAGGATTTATGACTTGCAGAAGATTTACTCTAAAGCTACTCTAACCACATCTGTGGTGTCGGCATAAAATAGACAAATAGATCAATGGAACAAAAGAGATTCCAGAAATAGCTCTATATAATTACAATCAAAAGATTTTTGACAGGCAACAAAGTAATTCAACAGGAAAAGAAAAACCTTTTCAGCAAGTGGTGTATTTAAGCAATGGAATAAGTAGGGGAGAAAATAAATCTCTGCTCCTTCATACATGAGGCACAAAAAAATTGATCTGAGATGGATCAAAAACCTAAACATGGAAGCTAAAATTATAAAACATACAAAGAAATTATAAGAATGTTATAGTTGAGCAAGATCATGAATTATGACTAAGTTTATCAGCCATAGAGAGGAAACAGATCCAAATTAGAGAAAAATAACCCATGCAAAGGTACCAAAAAAATGTAAATACCTTATTCTGAGAATGATGAGTAATCTGGTGACCCTTCATTATTAAACACTGTCCTGTGCAAGTTGTTTTGGTAAGTACAAAGGGTAAAAATGAAATACTGTGCAGTCCCTTTATAGCAGGATTTCCTATTACAAGGGGAGGAAAAGATATGATACATAATGCAATGAAATAAATTCTATTACAGTTTACAATTTATATGAAAACAGTGAGAACATAGCAATTAATACGGTATCAATTTGTTACAAGTTTGTGAAGATTCTGTAAGGTGAACAGTCTGAGTTTGGTGACAGGGAGGAACTTTCTACTCAGAAGAAATTACAGTTGGCCCTTGAACAGTATGGGTTTGAACTGTGCAGGTCCACTTACACACAAATTTTTTCAATAAATGTACAATTAGATCTCTATATCCATTGGTAACACACTGATAGCTAACTGACAGTGTAGTCACTGCACTATGGCCATTTCATATGAAGGACACCTGTACATGGGAAAAGTAAATAGCTGAGCAAGAGGAGCAGTTTATTCATGAAACCACTGACAATCAGCATAATCTCTGCAAGACTATGTGGCAGGCTTGAGATAAAAACAAAGATACTGGAAATAAAGGGAGTTTAAGTAAAGATAAAATAGAAGTAAAACTAATAGGATTATTGGTTATAACTGATGAGAAAGGAGGAATCAAAGCTGATTATGAGCATTCTCATTTGGACACAATGGTTACTTGAAGATTCTCCAAAACAAAGTAACACCTATATTCTTACACAACATTAAAATGTCCCAAAACTATCCTCTTTGGGCAAATACCTGGTATGGATAAATAATAAAGGTCTTGAACTCATCATGCAGTTTCTCTACCAATTATTTCTTCCTGAATTACCTTAGATATGTCCTAAGTAGAGATTCTAAAATTCTCTGAGCTCAGCAGTCTTAGGAAGCTCGTCAGAGTGTCTTAACACAACCCAGCTATCCCTGCAGGTGGGCATTAATTACATGAATCAGACAATAGCCTTTTTATTTTGAGTGTATTATGTGTTTAGAATCCATGATAGAGACATATTCAAATGCTTCTTGTTAAAATTATCAATATACCTTGAGAAATGCTCTTCTTTACCTACTACTATTCTAAAGAAAAATAAAACTTAAATCTCCTCTTATCACCAGAAAATACATTTCAGGTAGTGGTAAAGCCTAGGAAGCCTCAGTAAGAAACAAAGAGAAAATCTGGCCACATTGTCAAACTCACTGTATTAGACTTGTGAAGCCTGGCACAGTAAAGGGGAAACAGCACACTCGTTAGGAGATGATGAGATGCATACACAAACATTTCTTTAGTTCTGGCTGAAAGCTTTTTAAAAATATACAACTTCTCCCAAAACCTTAAAATAGTTTTAAAAAGGCATCATCAAGAACCCCCTTTTTCTTCTTACAGAAATATTTAACACAATTGCTTTGTTTTTGGTGTTTTGGTTTTGTCAAAAATTGGAGGAATTTTGGCCACCACATTCTCACATACTCAACATTGATTAATAAAAGGGTAATGTTTCTGAAATTCAGTAGTCCCATGCCTGGAACTGTCATCAAGTACAAGATTTCCAAGTAAATTTTGATATGATGTTATATCTCTATAACTATCACCTTCTATGAATAACTTACATACATATCAAAACTTAGAGAAACATGTAATGTAAAATTTAAATTTGAAAGTAAATTTTCATCTTACCATAAACAGTATAAGTGAATATTTTCTTTGAAAGCTGAGAACTGAAGACTGTCATTTTACAAATTGCATTTGTAACTGTAACCCTTTAAAAACAGTATTATTAACTATAAGAAAAGAGTTAAACCAAAGTATACAATCTACTGCCCTTCACCAAAATTCAAAAAACTGTAAACTATAATAAGACAGTTTGCTCTATTCAGTGAAGCAGGAGTTTCCGGCTTATTAGAAATGCATTTGCTTAGAGAGTTTCTAACTCTGTAGCTTCTAACTGAATCCAAACAAGCAAAACAAGGGAAAAAAAAAAGCAGCCAGAACAGATGTCAAACAGATCTCTCCTTATTAGAAACTAATTGTCTGTCTGGTTGCCTTTATCATATGAAATACATGGGAAGAGAACATTGCTGATGTGTGCATTGGCACTATAGAGTCTAAAACCACTTTTCCAGTAGTTACCCTGGAAATCATCCAAAACCAAGTAAAGACCAGAAGACCATTGCAAAATTTGATTCTGAGGGAAATCTGTTAATAAAGCCTATAAATTTGCATAGTCAGTATCACTAATGGAAGGTAGACAGGCAATCTAAAGCACTAAAAACTTAAACCTAATTTCCCTTTAGCCTACTGAACAGTAGGCAAGTGTGTTTTTAATTATTTAGATGCCTGAATATTTAGATATCTAATCTGATGTGAAATTTTTTTAAATGAAAGGTTCACATGCATTAATTCAATTTAATGACAAAATAAAATTTATTTTAATCCAAAAAATTAAAAATATTGAAAATATATATGCCATTTCACTATGAAGTATGATATTTGTCTGGTACCATTTCTTTTATGGAACTCAGTTGTAATGAATTGATGACAACTTCTGTTTTTTAGTACACCAGAGAGGAAAAGCTCTAGTCTCCCTTAGTTATTTATTCCAAAATAGTTCAACATTGATTGATTGAATATATACTAGCATTTCTTTTTTTTACTTACCATTTATGACCTAAATTGTTTTTAATAGTCTTCTCATCTTTATTTATATTCATATTTTTCTAAATAGTAACCTCTGTGAGAGCAGTGGCATCTTCATTTATTAATTGATTCATTCATTTATATATACAACAAGTATTTAGTAAGCACCTAATATGTGCCAGGCATGGAGCTGGAAACTGAGCTAACATAATGAACAAGAGAAAGACTGCCCTAAAGATGGGAGGAAATATTTTACACTTGTTTGTAACCCACTGATGTAATAAAATTAGAAGGAATTTTTAAATGTTTATTTTTAAATCTCAAGTCCCACATACTTATTTTTGCTGGAAGTTAATTTTAAAAAATCCTTTTTCAAATATTAATACATTAAAGAAATGGACAAAATTGATTTTAAAATAATTAGTGTGAATTCTTACAATTGCCATGAAGACTAACAGTCTAGTTTGAATTTTCTGAAAATATTTTTTCTGCCCTTCTTATAACAATAGAGATTAAATGGATTTGAATTTTAAGTTGAAGAGATTTGTAGTGGTCAGTAGGTCACTTATATACCTGAATAAATTCAGACTACTCCATTGTTGTCACTACCTCCTTAATTATTTTATTATTTAAACTATGAAACTATCATCCACTTCAAATTGCAACCTATCTAATGAAAAAGAAAAAAATGGCTTTTTAAACAAAATTTTGGGAAAGGAATCTTCCCTTTTATGCTTAGGTAAAGCAACAGAAATGAGCTGGGGGAAAGTAATAGGAACTGGGTGAGTTAATGAGAATAGGATTGGGTCATTTTAAACGAGAACAGCACAGAAACGCTAGTACTCGATTGATAACTATTTGGCTAGTAAGATAAAATTTTAAAAAGAACTACATACTTTCCTAAAAATTTTGCTATAACCCAAAACATATTAATGAACATTTGTTATTGATTCTTTGCAGTAAGATCAAGACCTTTTCTTTGGTTATAACTCCCCAGAGTGAGATTCTTCATTGCCTTTCTTATACAAAAAAAACACTTATTCTGAATCGTTTTTGGGTTTATTTAATATCAGTTGCAAAGCAACTTGAATGCAGAATCCTTATGGACTATCATTATTTTTTCCTAAAACTGTTACAATTCCCTGACCAGACTTAATCTGATATGTGTGTTATGTCTATGAGAGAGATACTTACCTCTTTGAAATGATTCCAAAGCATTGGACTTAATTTCTAAAGTTGCAACAACTTCTTTGCATAACCAGATTTCATCAGTTCACATAATAGTTAAATTACATAATTACAATTAGCTAACATTTGTTAAGTGTTTTTACTTATTGCCAGTTTTTCATAGCAAATCTTCTTTATACTGTTCTAGAGATTTATTTATATTTACACAAATGGTCCCCACAAGAACCTGATGTCATAGTTACTATTATTATCCCCATTTAGTAAGTGAGGAAGCACTACAAAACAGAAGTAACTTTCTCAAGACCATACAACTGGCACATAGCAGCCCACGACTTAAATATGAATTGTCTAACTCCGGAGTCAGTGCTTTAACCAGTGTGTTATGTAGGCTCCTAACTGGAATTCACAGGTTTAGAAACAGGTATAACTGACTCTTGTTAAGAATGCAGCCCGAATAGTGGTACATCAGCATCATCAAAAAATTCAACATACAATGAACCTTAGTCATCATGCCTACAGAGAAAACAATGTCCATTAATCTAGCAAGCCTGTTAAGTGGAAGTTATTTATTCTAAATCTCCACCGTAGTCACACTGTGAAGATATTTTGCTTTAAAAAAGCATTTGAGTAAAGATCCGAGAAAAACTGAGCGTATGATGTAACTTAGGAGTGCTAGAGAATACTTCAGTCCTAGTCATTTGCAGATGTGTTAGCTAAAGGACTTTTTTTTTTATTCCTGTTTAATGCTAGATAAGCAAGAACTATGGCAAAAACTACAAAGAGAGTAAATATTTTTCTACCTATCTCCAAAATTAAGTCCTTGACTGTTTTAAAGATCAGTCCTGAAGAAGTTGCTTTAATGAGAAGGATGCAGAGTGGTTCCTGCAGATAATTAAAATCAACAAATAGAATGAACTTCTGTTCAGTCCCACAAAAGAAGTAATGCAGATAAACTCTCCAGTGCACGCCCAGATATGCCAGACTATAGGCTAAGCTGCAGTAAGATCTCTTCCTCATGCCCAAAGGTGTGTAAGCAGTCCAAGAAGAACATGGGGGCTTACTCCATAGAGTTTTTCACGGTTCCTTCTACCTGTTCTACATTTTCTAGAATGACGCTCTTTCAACTAAAGTTAAATCTGGCTCACCGGCCTATATCTGCTTTCTAGCCTGCAGCAAGGGAAAGAGAAAGTGAGAGGTTTCCATTTTCAGAAATTTAATTTCACACTAAAATTGCACCCAACATTTCCACTCACTTCC